ACCCACGGGCGTAAGAATTTGATCTATGGTGAAGCAAGGTGGAAATTATTTTACATTTTCCCAGTGACTCTTTAGTGTTTCAGAGTTCAGCAATGGGATGGTGAACAGGATGATATGGGCAAGCAGAAATACTAATTTTTTATCAACATTATGCTCATTTCAAACATATTAATAATTGCCCCAGGTAGTCACAGCCTTTGTAAGCAGGTCTCTCAGACCAGGTCTGTTCTAGAGCCGAAAGGTCGGATTAAGGTACACAACTAAATAATGGTACGCATAAATAATGTAGCTGGAGTCTATGTACCTTAAGCTGAGCTTGGTGCTGTCTTCACAGTGGGAGGTCGATGGGAGCAAATGCAGTCAGCTTCCCTTACTAGTAAATCGAGGAGAACCCGCACCAAATGGGGGTGCCCTCACCATTCCTTACTAGATCCCCTAAATCGGACACCAGATCGACCTCCAGTGCATCAAGTGGAGATGCGGCCTCAGACACAATACTACGTGCAAGCCTAAACCAGGACGTAGTGAGCACATTCTGGTTTTCATTCCACCTCTGATGTTGCCAAAGGAGATTTCAATATTGCTGGATTCTTGGGTCTGTAAAAACAAACAATAAAGACATTTATGGGGCTAATGAAAATATCCTCAAATAAGATAAAGGGTAAAAAATATGTAACAGATAAAAAAGTTTCATGCTTCCAGTCCTAAGCCAATGGACAAATTCTTACGTAATTGTCCATTATGCTGTTTCTTCCATCATTTTCTTTTACATTCGGTACTGGACATTCTTCGACAGTGATTTGTATCTTCTGCTGCTAGAAAGAACATTGATCTAATCCAGTTTGGCAATCTGAATGTTCCTACATAGGGTGACCCAAAAGTTAGACTCCAATAACAGACTGCGTGCTATCTGGAAAATCCAGTATGTACATATACCTGTGTATATAAACCTCAAAGTTGTTCCCTTAGTGATTTGTTGGGCATTAGCTTGGACTGTTACCAAAAGAAATTTGCCAGAATTACTCTGTTGACTCTCTGATCTGATCCTGAGAGGTACTGAGTGGCTGTCTTGTACCTGCAGCTTCTTTTGAAGTCAAGAGGACTTTCTGGTCCTCCGCTTCTCTCAGAATTGTGCCTTGTGTGTCACACAGGAACTACAGTGAAATGAAATAGTTTTTTGCATGCCTCTTGAAGATCTTGCACTGTGATAAGGCTCAACAAAGATATTTGATGGGGATTTCAGAAGGAGTACAAGTTTTTGGGAAGATGACAGGTTGCAGAATGCTGTGGGAAAGACTGTCGAGAAATGGTCATGAGATGGGTGCAACTTGTAAATGAATAATAATTGCGTGTGACGTGAAGACATTATTTGGGTCTAGACCCATTATTTGGGTCTTACAAAGGCTGTGACTACCTGGGACAATGATTGATATGTTTGAAGTAAGCATGCAGCAGCAATGCTTGTTAGGAAACCAGTTTAAAATATTTTTCTGCCAAAACCACAAGTTGCACAAGCCTGAAACCATCATGGATTGAGGAAGCTGTATGCTGCGTACTTACCCAGACCCTAGTTAGTAAATGCTTCGTTCTTATTTTGAAATTACCTTTCCTTGCAATTGTTCCAGATCATGTTGTCTGCCTCAGGACCAGACTGCAGAGGGAAAAGAGAATTTTAGATTAAAATAAAAATTGGAGCCATCCTTGAAAGTCAAATTTGAAGGTGGATAACTTTTTCTGGTACCTCCACCTAGGGCAAAGTTGAATAATCACCTCTGCTGTTCTGATTGCTTTGTGAGCCCACAAACAATCTGAAGGAATGAAAGTATCAAGCAAGTAAATGGGTGACTACGTTTACCTTCAAAATATTAAATGCATGTGAGTCTCTGTAACTAGAAAATATTCAGGAGCTTTAGTAATCTCAGGAGAAAGAGTAAGAGGGAATATGATGGAAGTGCTGTAACATAATGAATAGTGCAGAGAAGGCTTGCTAAGTACATCGATTTAATAAGCAGAACAAGAGACATGTGAAATTAAAAGTCAGCCATTTTAAAATGGAAAAGATATTGCATATGAAAATGACAGCACAGAGAAGGGCAGCTTGGTCTCCTGTTTACCCTAGAGCAAGAGGTAACTCAAAGTTAAAAGGCAACAATTTTTAAATTGTGGGGAGGGGGGGAAGAAAATCTTTTTTAATCAACTTAAGCTCTCACTGCTGCAGGGTATGGGTGAGGCACAGAACGTGGGAATTTTCTAGAAAGGCTTAGATATAGGAATAAGAAGAGCAGTATCAGTTGGGTTAACTATGTTAAAATTGAAAGGACATAGTAGGGATGTAAGAGATTAGTCAACTATTGGGTAAGCAGAAGCTTATCAGATAGTCGACTAGTGATGCAACTAGTTACTTCACCCTCCCCTCCCCCCCCTGCTGCCTCTATCAGAGAGAGGCAGCAATGCAGGGAGCAGGAGCTGGTGCTGGGAGGAGCCAGCTTAAAAGCTGGTTCCCCCCAGCACCATCTTCATGGGGGACAGGAGAGGTAGAGGCACAGCGGAAATGGCGCGAGCGGGGACAGAAGCTCATGTTACTTCTGCTGCAATTCTGTTTTTGAAATGTACAAGAGCCCCAGCGTGGCTCTTGCACTTTCAAAGGCTCGGGTGCCGCAAGGAGTGTGGGGCCAGCGGGGGAGTCCCACGCTCCCTACCGGGCTTTTGCTACAGTTCAGAGGCAGAGGCGCCCTTATAGACTAATCAAATCAATAGTCGATAGAAATCCCATCGACTGTTCAATTAGTTAATCTAGATTTAACATCCCTAGGATATAATCCCATCATCCACTTGTATTAAAATAATTTGTTTTAAAATGATATGTCCACATTTTGAATACTGCATCCAGATGTGGTCGCCTCATGTCAAAAAAAATATATTGGCATTGGAAAAGGTTCAGAAAAGGGCAACAAAAGGGATTAGGGGTTTGGAACAGGTCCCATATGAGGAGAGATTAAAAAGACTTGGACTTTTCATCTTTGAAAAGAGGAGACTAAGGGGGGATGTGATAGAGGTCTATAAAATCATGACTCGTGTGGAAAAAGTGAATAAGAAAGTTATTTACTTATTCCCACACTATAAGAACTAGGGGTCACCAAATGAAATGAATAGGCAGCAGGTTTAAAACAAACAAAAGGAAGTTTTTCTTCACTCAGCGCACAGTCAACCTTTGGAACTCCTTGCCAGAGGATGTGATGAAGGCTAGGACTTTAACTGGGTTCAAAAAAGAGCTAGATAGATTCATGGAGGTTAGGTCCTTTAATGGCTATCAGCCAGGATGGGTAGGAATGGTGTCCTTGGCCTCTGTTTGTCTGGAAATGGGTGACAGGAGAGGAATCACGTGAGAATTACCTGTTGTGTTCCCTCCCTCTGGGGCATCTGGCATTGACCACTGTCGGCAGACAGGGTACTAGGCTAGATGGATCTCTGGTCTGACCCAGTATGACCAGTCTTAGGTTCTTAAATTCCTCCCTGTGATAGAGTTATATACTGTTACTTGTGTTGAGGACAGGAGTTATGCCTTCCTCTGGGGCATTCAGAACAAACACTATTGGAGATGGGATACTGGACTGAAAAACCCAAGAGATCTGCTGAGGCAGTTCCTCTGCCCCATCCTTGACCATCCCTTCAGGTGCTGAATGTAACTCATAACCCATTGAAGTCATTGAAAAGACTCCAGTTGGCCTCAGAGGGGTTTAAATCAGGTTCTCTGTGGACTGTTACCATCTGACTTTTGGTGCATAAGCAGAGCAGAGGCTGTAGATAGTTTGCATTGCAGCAGTCCCTGCATAGGCCTTGCCACCACCAGACACCTACTGCCAGGGACTTGCCAGCAGACTGATCAGACCCTTTTGTCTCTACCTGCAGCAAAATCAGGGCCTGAAATAGCAGCTAGCTTCCCATTTGCTTCCCTCACCTAAAATTAGCTTGAGGAACAACATTACTGGAGTAGGTATTTCTTTTAAAACTTCACTTACTGTAAAAACTGTGAGTAATCATTCTGCCATCTCTCGATAGAAAAGGTCCTTTTGACCGTAATGCAAATGAAGTCTTTCGATTTGCAGGAGGAAGTACAGTATGTAATTATATGCAAGAAATGTATTTTTATTTTTTTTATTGTAAGAAAGTTATAGAAAGAGTCCTGTCCCCAGGTTAGGGTGTTTAAGCTAAAAAATGAAATCACATTCATTTTCTAAAATAGGCATCTAGTACTTTATTAGCACACAAAGTTTACATATGGTATTAGGTTGCATGTTAGTTTTAGGAGTAAGAACATTTTCATCCTGTGTTCTTACTCCAAAGGTTTGTAGAGCAAAGAACACTGGTTCCTGCCAGGTCATGAGGTGAGCTCAAAACCCTCTGGCTGAGCAGCTGTGGATAGTTCCAAAGAAATGCCCGTGTCTATTCTTCCTTGAACTGTTTGCAGTGAAGCAGACTGGTAGGTTGTAACTGGAACCACTGGCTGCAGGTTGTAGTTCCATCCAATCTAGGCTACGGCTACACTGTAGTCTTCTTGTAGAAAAACATATGCAAATGAAGTGCGGCGTGGTATCGCCACACTTCGTTTGCATAATTAATTAGGGGCCGTTTTTGCGCAAGAGGCTTTGCACAAAAAGGAGCCGTCTACACAGCTCCTTTTTGTGCAAAAGCGGCTGCTCATTAACTATGCAAATGAAGCGTGGCGATATTCTGCGCCAGCCTTCATTTGCATAAGCTTTTCCACAAGAAGGCTACAGTGTAGCCGTAGCCCTAAAGAATTATGATTGTGACTTAAAAGGGTAAGAGTTTTTATATGGAGAAGTATGGGATGATTTTTATGGGTCTAGCTGGAATATAGAGGACTCTGTAGGTAGTAGAAGAAGAAAAAAGTAGAGTGGGAGTGATTGTGGAATAAGAAAAGTAGCTACAGAACATGTGATTCCTGTCATTTGATGTCTCCTCTGGTTTTCTTCTTACAGAAAAAAGAAGAATGGTCAGGACGAGCAGCCAGAGACCTCCCTCAGTACCCAGTACCGATTGGTTAGCCCAACATTCAAGTATAATATGGACTACAAGAATGTTGGCAAATGCATTATTATAAACAACAAAAATTTTGAGAACCATACAGGTATTTCTTGTGCTTGTCTCATACTTTAATGTGTTCCCTATTCGCCGCATTAATTTTCTTTCCAGGGCTTTAACATCAGTTGATTGATCAACAAGCCTTGTTTTCTCTCTTACAGACTTTTTTTTTTTAAGACCATAAAACTTAGATAAATATTTTTTCTTTCTTGGGAAATTGCTATAGCAATTTCTTGGCCTGCTCACACTGCCTATTTAACATTTAGCCACGCCAGCAGGCCCACTGTTGCTAGGGACTGTTGTCCATGTGGCAAAGAACTTACCAACTTGCTTCACCGAGTTATCTTATGAACCCGACTTCCATGAATTATAATTTTCCCAAGCTGTCCTGTGGCCTGGTGCTATCATAGACTACAAATCCAAATCAAGCTGTATGTGGCTCTTGCTAATGCAGTCTGGACATTCTCCCTCCCCCTTATCTGGCTTATGCTGCAGAGTGGATGTCCTGTCTTCACAACAAAACCAAATTGCCTTATTCATGCATACAGGAGAGCAAGTGATAACATATAACGCTAGAAGATTTACCTGGCATTGCTCACCTCCTTAACTCAAATAAGTTTTTGTCAGTCACATCTGAAGAAGTAGGCTGAGCCCACGAAAGCTCATACCACCATTTACATGTTTTGTTAGTCTTTAAATTGCTACCAGACTATTTGTTGTTTTTTAAGTTAAGTTTTGTTTTGTTTTGACATTTAAATCATTGCTTTGAGATGGGGCTGGGGATGAGGGGTTGAGGATGCAGGCTGCCCCAGGGAGAAAGGACAACTCCAGGCCCTTCTCACTGCAGGAGTTTGGGGCCAGGTGAGAAGCACCTGTCCATGGCTGCTGCAGCTCCAGCAGGCACATCCAGGGGAGGGGTGCATGTCCTGTGACTGGGGGACAGACAGCCTCACAGATAGACACACACTCTGACATATATAACAGATAGCTGTGCCCCCCCCTGCTGGCCCAGTGGGGTTACTTACTTGTTCCCATAATAGAAGAACTAGAGAACACCGAATGAAAAGAACGGGTCGCAGGTTTAAAACTAATAAAAGAAAGTTCTTCGTCACACAGTGCACAGTTAACCTGTGGAACTCCTTGCCAGAGAAGGCTGTGAAGGCTAGGACTATAACAGAGTTTTAAAAAGAGCTAGATAAATTCATGGAAGTTAGGTCCATAAAAGGCTATTAGCCAGGGAGTAAGGAATGGTGTCCCTGGCCTCTGTTTGTCAGAGGCTGGAGAGGGATGGCAGGAGACAAATCGCTTGATCATTGTCTTTGGTCCACCCTCTCTGGGGCACCTGGTGCTGGCCACTGTCAGCAGACAAGATACTGGGCTAGATGGACCTTTGGTCTGACCCAGTATAGCCACTCTTTCGTTCTTATGACTGTCCCATTCCCCACCTCTGGCCCCTCGCTACGCCCCTGTGATCATTCTGCAGTATAACTCCCTCCTGCCAGACCCTTCCCTTTCCATTTTAAGAGAAACAATCGAATTCCAGGCACATCCCATTGTCCTGTCACCACCAAACCATGATCTTGCTTTAAGTTACGGTAAGAGGAGGTTGCATACCAAATATGATGATTCTAGCTCTTACTGTTTAGGAGGCGTTCTTGAACAAATGGGCTTACAGACAGATAGGCACACAGATGCACATTCCTAAAATATATAGATAGATTTGTATTGGAGGTAGTGGTTAATAACTTCCTCCAGAACCACTTTTTCCTGAGTTCTGTACAAACATAGTGTATAAAAGTGCTTGCTTCAAAGAACTTATATCCGTTTCCTTCATGTGAGAGTTGTTGGGGATTTCTGGCCTGTCAGGGAGGGAAGTTGAGGAGACGGGCCTAAGTTAAGAATAAAACCTTAACGTTTTCTGACTTCAAAGCATTTTGCAGCGCGTGGTATTGTTCATGTGTAAATATAACAAGGCGTGGTTCTTTTGTAAGACTCTCAACACGTTTTCATTGTTCTAATTTTGGAAGACGGTGCACATGAGCCTTACAGAGGTCAATGAGGCCACAGGGCCTACTCTACAAGATGCTGAGGTTATACAGCCCGTTGCAGACCCAGGTCCATTTTTACCTTGAACCTCGCATTATTTTATATGAAAGCCAAAAATCTTACAAATTGATCTGAAAGTGGCAGGGTTATTTGTGACTGTGTTTCAAAATCACATCACCATATTCTTTTCGAAGCCTGACAGTAAATTGTAAACCTGCGGAGTCAGCTGTGAGCATTCAAGTTATTTGCATTGTGGTATTCTTCATTTTCTGCCAGGTATGGGCATCCGCAGTGGCACTGATAAAGATGCTGGAGAGCTTGCCGTATGTTTTAAACGCTTGGGATTTGAGGTGGTTGTACATAACGATCGACGCTGCGATGATATATTGAAATTACTCCAACAAGGTAACAGTTCACATTCTTCACTGATGTACTTTTCCACATAATGAAAAACTTGGTATCAAAACAGACTGATGTTTTCATGCTTTCCATCTTAATTCAGAGCTATCAGTCAGATTCCCTTGATTTACTGAGAGATTGGCCTTTGTCCAATTGCTCTATCTGTCTTGGGTCTGGATCTTGGGTCTGGTACAGAGCTCAGTCCCTGCTCACTGAACACTCTCCAAATTACCAAAAAGTAGTTAAAGTCTCCACTCACCTGCAATCTGTTGCAATGAAAAACCCCACTTTTCTGAATGAGTTACGCTTCTCCTGTTGGAGCGCATGCTGGGTCCCACTGTACATGTAGTACTGTTTTATCATTCTTTCATTTATATTAAGTGTAATGGGGTTTCCTTTGAACTGAGAAAATGTTATTTGATTTGCAGCTGCGGATGAGAACCACAGTGATGCTGCTTGCTTTGCCTGTATCTTCTTAAGCCATGGGGAAGAGGGCAGAATTTATGGCACTGATGGAACGTTGCAAATCAAGGAACTCACCATACTTTTCAGAGGAGACAAGTGTAAAACTCTGATAGGCAAACCCAAATTGTTTTTCATCCAGGTAACAACCTTGCAAAGTAGACAGTACTAAGAGGAAAACTGTTCCCAGTGGTTTCCTGTGGTATGGTGGCACTGTAGGTAAACTTACTGAATTTTACAAAGATGTTTGACCAGCAAATCACAGATTGGGGGGTAGCTGGCTATAGACATTGTGTATTTGACAATATATCCAATGTATATAATACAAATGTGTAAAAATGTACCTATTTTCATTCTAACTCTCTCCTCCCATCTCTTATATGCTACTTCTCTCTCTACGTAATACTACTCAGGGGTAGCCATGTTATTCTGTAACTCAGAAAACAACAAGTAGTCCTGTGGCACCTTAGAGACTAACAAAAATATATATAGTATCAGGAGCTTTCATGGGTAAAACCCAACTCATCTGATGAAGGGGGTTTTAACCACGAAAGCTTTTGATCGTCTATATTTTGTTTGTCTCTAAGGAGTCCCGGGACTAATAGGTAATACAAGCTCTTCAAATGGAAGAATTATCTTGGAGACAGAACTGAGCACATTGAAGATGGTATCAACATATAGAGTACGTTATTGTCCAAATTTCTGTGAACACAGGCTATTTCTATAGATTGTTGTTTTCTAGCAGGAGAAATCTGTACATACAATTATTTTAGTGTATTACTATATTATACATATATTTACCAACATGCTTCTGAAATTTGTCAGTGAACTGTTGTGCTAGTAAAAAGTGCCCTGTTGACAACCCTGTGGACTAACGCCCCCAATTTATCTGCTTAGGATGTACATTTTGGGGTGACAACAGGAGTGAAAGTTTTCCCCTACGTCTCTCCCCCATCTTCCTTTAGTCCTGCTATGCAAGGTGTGAAATACGTCATCTCAGATGCTTGGCCCTCCGCTGATTGCCAGCAAGTGTCAGAGTGACTTTTTTATGTGTACAGTTTCCCATTAGAAACAGTCCTAATATGTCACCTCGCCAAGCAGCATAGCTAGAGAGAAAGTGAGGACTGAAGTAGGGGAATGGAGCAAAATATTTAAAAAGTAGAGATTTGGGGTGTATAATTGTAAAACGTTAACTGTGTAAAGCCCTTGAACTGCGCTGGCATGGCAGTGTACATGACTTGGGTACTAAGAAATATAATTCTGTACTTCACTGTTTAAAGGAAATTTAAATGTTACTCTGCAGTGTAACTTAGAGACATAATAGATCATCCATTCAAACTAGTTGACTGTCAACATTTTAAACTATGAACAGTTTTGCTAAACACGTAGACTCAGAGCCAGTTTTAAACAGGATTTTGTACTTTGTGGAGATTCCTGTTTAAAAATGTATCACTAGTTGTGGTCCACCCAAAGTTCTCCCAAAGATTCAGTATGATCAACTAGCACATTTTCCGACAAGACTCTCCCTGGCTATAGTAGATGGAAAGGCCTGTTTTAAATGGTTAGTTAAATCACAGTCACCAACAGGATTTAAAACATGACCAGTTTTCCCATGTAGACAAGCGCTATTTGTCTTTACTCTGTTTTCAGGCATGTAGAGGATCTGAATTTGATGATGGGATACAGACGGATTCTGGACTTGCTGACGACACAGATGCCAATCCCAGATACAAGATTCCAGTAGAGGCAGATTTTCTGTTTGCCTATTCCACCGTGCCAGGTAAGTAATGAAAAGGACAGGCTGACTTCTGTGTGCAACTGCATTGACAATGAAGCATGCATTTTCCACCAGGGCTTTAGAAATTTAGTCCCTAAATATGAATAAGTAAATATCAAAGAAATTGAACAGTTGGGGGCAAAATAATTTGCCTGTCTTAGGTGTATTTTCTTGTAACTTTATATCTTATCCACTTTATTTCCTCATTAGTGAAATGGTAATAGTGATACTTCATGTGAGTATTGTGATAAATACTACCTGGATGATGTAGAATGTGTGTGAGTGTGTGCGCGCGCGTGCGCAGACATGAATGATGTACTATAAATATATATGCGCATGAATGATGTGCTGGACTTCAACTATCTAAACATATGTTGGGAAACTAACGCAGCAGGACACAGATTATCCCACGAGTTCTTGGAATGCATTGGAGACTTTTTTTTATTTTATTTTTTTAAAGATGAGAAAGCTACTGGGGGAAATTTGTTCGGGTATGTCTACACTTGCTCCCTATCTCGAGAGAAAGAAACAACAGTTATTTCGAGAGAAGGGTTTCTCTCGAAATAATGCTGCTACGCAAGGTGTTTTATTTCGCAATAAGGTGATTTCAAAATGGCAGCCAGACGCCATTATGCTAATTAAGCGTTGGCTATTTAAATCCCGTGCTTCATTAGCAATTTTGGAACACAACATTTGCATCTCTATCTCGAGATAAAATCCAATCTAGAAGGGTATCTAACAAATAGGGAGGAACTGGTTGAGAATTTTAAAGTGGAAGGCAGCTTGGGTGAAAGTGATCTTAAAATCATAGAGTTAATGATTTTAAGGAATGGTAGAAGGGAGAACAGCAACATAAAGACAATGGATTTCAGGAAGGCAGACTTCAGGAAGAGAGCTGGTAGCTAAGGTCCCATGGGAAGCAAGGCTAGGAGGAAAAATAAGTGAAGACAGTTAATAATGTCCCTTTGAAAAAGTGCTAAGGGCCCTAAAGCAAACTATCCCAGGGTATATCTACACTACCACCCTAGTTCGAACTAGGGTGGTAGTGTAGACATACCCAAGTTGCAAATGAAGCCCGGGATTTGAATTTCCCGGGCTTCATTTGCATCTTGCC